TTTAAACATTATATGGGCTTCCATGCTAGAAGCAGTTTCCTTCTGGATTCTAAGAGAAATAATATTGAGAGAAAGGGATCTGGACACAGTGGCACAAGCCTGGAGTCCCATTGACTCAGGAGGCTGAGGCAAGATGATTGCAAGTTCAGGGCCAGTCTGGGCACTTAGTGAGACCCCGTCTCAAAATAAAAATAAAAAGGGCTGGGGATGTAGCTCAGTGGTAGAGTGCCCCTGGGTTCCACCCTCAGTACCCAGAAATGGGAGAGGATGGAGGTGAGGGTGGGGGCAGGGAGAAAGGAATGAGGTTGCATTAAGTGATGATCACACCGCTCTTTAAGGGATGAGAAGTGGAAAGTGAAATCTACTACATTGGAAAAATGATGGCTGAGAAATTTAAAAACTAAAACCACAGTATTAAGGTGAAAACACAGCCTTCTCTAGAATGAGAGGAACACTGTGTTAAGAAATGTTAGGATAAAGAAGAAGGATTACTGTACAGGGACAGATTATATAAGTGAACTTCACCTTTCATGGTTGGGAGGTTTTGAAATGAATTTAACAGATTCAACTAAGCTTAATGGATGACAGAGCCAGAAGAGACATCATCTCTCCTGTCTGACATACACAGAGGAGCCTCTGTCTAACCCAGTAGTGAACATGTTGTAGGCAGTATTACCTAACAAAGCTGGGAATCTGTACAACCCTGTGATATTTACATAATCTCACGTTAAGCTTCAGATCTTGATAGAAATTGACTTATGGATATCCTGAGATAGTTTGGAAGAACTAGAAAGGAGTATGTTATTCTCAGATGCAGGTATTACTAAAAGTGAGGAGTGTCTCACAAAATGCTTGGCTGACATTTTAAGCTTGGCATTCTTCTGGTCCATGTTTGAGGCTTAGTCTTTCCACTTTCCTGGTAACTTCAGCTAATATATGCATTTCCTTTATTTATGAAACTTTTTTTTTTTTTTTGTGGTGCTGGGAATCAAACCCAGGGCCTTGCACATGCTAGGCACTCTACCATTAAGCTATGTCCCCAGCCCAGATTTCTTTTTTTACTTTTTATAGTACTAGGGATTAGGCCCTTTACTAGGGAGCTGCATCCCCATCCCCCTTTTTTTGAGACAGGGTCTAAGTTGCTGAGGCTGGCTTTGAATTTGTGATCCTCCTGCTTCAGTTCTTCAAGTTGCCCCAGCCCAGATTTCTTGTTTAGGTACAAAAGAGGCACTTCACCACTGAGCCACATCTCCAACTCTTTTTGTTTTGAGACAAGGTCTTGCTAAGTTGCTTAGGGCCTTGCTAAATTGCTGAGGCTGGCTTCAAACTTGCTATCCTTCTGCCTCAGCCTCCCAAGTCTCTGGGATTACAGGCCTGAGCCACCATGTCTGGCTCCAGCTCAGATTTCTTAAACCCACAAAAATGTGTATTTACATTTGTTCATGGCTTGATTGCTAACTTTTTATGTTTGTCTTAATATTGATAAATATCCCACTGGATATATTCACCATGGTTTGTTCATCTATCCTCTTATTAAAAAACATCTTGCTTGCTTCCATTCTTGAGATAATTATGAATAAAGGTGCTGTGAACATTTGCAAAAAAAAATGTGGATTTATTGTTGGGTGTATGCCTTCCCACAGTTAACACTCATCCTTTGTGAATTCCATGTTGTGTGGTTTAATCATTTAAAGTGACAGGCTGTGAAAGGGACAGGATAAATTGGCATGGCCTTTAGTTTGGATTCATGCTAGTAAAGTGAGTGAAAATAAATTTTGCTTTTCTTTACAGTAACTTTCATGAAGCCTCAAGACATTGTGCTAATAATCAGATATGAAAAATTTCACACAAACTACATATCAAAACTGTTAATAATGAAATAACATGTCTCAGAACTTTGATAGAACTTGGCTTAGACTTTTACATTTTGTGGAGCTGTTAAAAAAATAGTAGGGGGCTGGGGATGTGGCTCAAGCGGTAGCGCGCTCGCCTGGCATGCGTGCGGCCCGGGTTCGATCCTCCTCAGCACCACATACAAAGATGTTGTGTCCACCGAAAACTAAATAGAAAATAAATATCAAAATTCAAAAAAAAAAAAAAATAGTAGGGACCAATACAGACAGAGCTTCTAACATTTTGCCAAGGAGACTTTTTGTTTGTTTGTTTTGGTGGTGCTGGGGATTGAACCCAAGGCCCTATGTGCAAGGCAAGCACTCTACCAACTGAGCTATATCTCCAGCCCCACCAAAAATATATTTAAAGCAAGTAACATTACTATCATTTCATTAAAGAAAGGAAACACAGGTACTATAAAAGTTGGGATAATCTCATATTAAATGTTTGAGTTGACAACCTTCTTTGAGCAGTTTTCCCCCTCTATGGATAGCTGAAATTTTAATCTTGGCCTAGAATTTGGGGATAAGGGCCTAAATCAATACCATTTACTTTAACCAATTTTGCTTAAAAGGTTGAGGGATGAGTGGCATAGCTTGAGGTCATTTTTTTTTTAATTGGAGAGAGAAATCATAGCTTCTAACAACTAGTAGCATACACCATCCCTGAAATTCAATCACTACATATATTGTCAATTAATAAAGTTAGTCGATATTTACCACACCAAACACCTTCATTATATATATATATATATATATATATATATATATATATATATATATATATATTTTTTTTTTTTTTTTTTGGTGCTGGGGATTGAACCTAGGGCCTTGTGCATGTGAGGCAAGCAGTCTACCAACTGAGCTATATCCCCAGCCCAAAAAATATCAAATCAGGTAATCCCACCTACTTAGTAGAACTGTTTAGTATATTTGGTGGTACTTGTCATAATTTATCAAGAAAAATAATCCTGAATTAGAATTGCTATAATTATATAATCTATGTCATAAATTATATAATCCAAACTATGAGCTGCTAATTCTCTAAAATGCTTCATTCTCCATTATATGGTCCTTAGTCTAATACATGTCTGTTGCAAGAATAGATGTCCATCAAGATCACTGCAAAACAAGATTCTTTACATTAAAACCCTCTCAACCTAACAGATCTAACAGAAATCCCTAAGACATAAATTATATTGAGAAAAAAGGCACTCCAATTGCCTGATAAATGAAAAGGCACTTTGAAGCTCTAAGGTGCTTTAACTAGATCAGTAACTGCACACAATTTTGTGTGTATGTAAAGAATCTTGCATTAACCTAACCATAAACACTTTATTTTTATAATTAACAGAATGTTTTATTGTTATAAATGAATTAGTTCAAAAGCCTGTGATAAAATTTTAACAGGACTTGGAAACTACATTTACCTAATTATCTTGAATTATCAAAATGTTCAATATTTGTATTTCATAGTACGGTAGGTCATCTCCAATTTCATCACATACATATATACACTTATAGTTCTGAAATTGTTACTAGCCCCAATTATAAAAAAGCATAACAGTTTCAAATTCAAAATGAAGAATATAGTTTATTCCCATTAAAAGGATGTCCCTTTATCAGAAACTGAGTGTTATGGATTTTTCTTTAAAATAATTACGTTTTAAAAGCATGATGATCTCTTTTGCTGACCCATTCATACTTATTTTAAAAAAGGAGTATGGGCATGGAAAAAATTTTACCCTAAGAATCTGATAGAATCAGGGTAGATTTTAGATTTTGCTTGGAGATGTGTCCTGAAGACATGTCCAGGTCAGTCACAGAGGCAAATGCACATAATTATGACATCAACCTTTATGTACCGTAGTACGTTAAATTATACATTTAAAAAATGTTAGAATCAGAGGCTGGGGATGTAGTTCAGTGGTAGAATGCTTGCATGCCTTGCATGCACAAAGCCTTGGGTTCTACCCCCAGCACCATAAAAAACAACCTTCTACCCCAAACCTAACCTTTAGGAGTGCTGTCTGGTTTCATTGATTCCTGTGACTTCTAAGGTACCTGAATTTTAGCACATAGAAACTTGTGACTGATAGTTAACTGAGAATTCAAATGTACAAATGACTGTTTTACCATTTCAAATTGTGTGCCCCAAATTGTATCATGACTTTCCCTTCTAACCTATAAGATCCTCAAATCAAAGCCACACATACACAGCCTAGATTTTATATATGTCCAAGCGTAGTGGTGCTGTCTATAATCCCAGCGACTTGGGAGGCTAAGGTAAGAGGATTTCACATTTGAAGGCAGCCTAGGCAATTTAGTGAGACCATCTCAAACAAAAAGGGGCTGGGGATGTGATTACCAGTAAGGTGCCCCTGGGTGTAATCCCCAGTGCCAAGGGGAAAAAAAAATACACACATAAAAAGCTATTTCTTAATTATTCCATTGCTTCTAGTGTATGTGTGTGTGTATGTGTGTGTATATATATATATATATATATATACACACACATATTTTTTTTAATTGGCAGTGAATGAAATACTTTTGGTCTGAGTCTTTTTTTTAAGTTGCAGATGGACACAATACCTTTTATTTATTTATTTTTATGGGGTGCTGAAGATTGAATCTAGTGCCTCACTTGTGCAAGCACTGTACCACTGACCTACAATCCCAGCCCTGATCTGAGTCTTGAAGAATATTACATAAACACTTTGTCTTCAAATCTTTGAAGAATAAAGATCATACAATTTAAGAGGATAAATTTCTTTTTTCTTTCCCAAATAGTATCTTTACTAATATAAGCCATGTGTTTGATTATCCAGAGTGAGGAATAAAAAATTTTCCCCCATCTTTGATCTAGTCTTATGACTACTATTTCCGTCACAGATGTTTGGCTTTGTGATTAAGAGACTTGAAATGTGTGCTTCAGTTTCTTCCACGTCCTTAGTTCCAGTGCTTGCCACTCCTTGGTCTAGAATTCTGGAGCATTATATTTTAAGACATTCTTCATGACTACTTTTAACCTATTCTCACTGTGATCTAAATTCCTACTATTTGTTCTTTTAATGGATCAATTAAATATCCATAAAGATAAACACAAAGGAAGTTGCTGCCCCTTTATTACTGACCTGGTCAACTTATAATTAAGTAGAGTGACATTCATAGTTCATTTAAATTGAAAACGTTGAAAACACAGAAGCTGTATTTTCTTAGTGTTATTACCACTGTCAAGAAGAAAATCAAGGTTATAACAGGTTTTTCTTAAGACTATACTACGAAATTAATGTAGCTTAATCACACCCTGTTCACTTTCTAGGTCAAATAAGCAATATGAAAAGGCGATAAAATTTTCTTTGAAACTTCCAAGTACAATCTGCATATACATGATTTTGAGAATAATTTAATACACCAACCTCAAGATACAACTATAGTCTAATACCATTATTTTAAATTTAAAGAAACGGATCCTTACAAGACCAAAATAACCCATAGGCCATAAGGTTGGTTTTCCTTTTTTGTTTAAACAAATGTGCACCACGATGTTTCAACAAGTAAGGCAAATGCCATGAATGTGAAAGGTGAGGTTTGCAATATACCACACATCTAGAACGCAGGGGAGGTAAATTAGACAGAAGTGGTAGTCATTCTAATTAAATTATCAGGTAACATCATGACAAGTTGGTCTGCAGCATCAAAATTGTCCGTTTAACTTTCTTTTTTCTTGACAATCAGAGGTCCCACGTTGTCTCCAGTCTCTTCGTTATGTTTTGTGTGAGCACCATCACAGAATGGAAACTAGAAGAGAAAGAGAGAATGAATGTGGAACAGCTAATCCCCAAACAGTATATAGTGCTTGGCAGAACTAGAGTGATGTTTAATTCACACACATCAGAACTTAAGATTTTTCTTGAAACTTTAAATAGGATTTTTAAGGAGCACATGCAAAATACACATACTGAGTAGGAGGAAGAAATCCCTTGGGGATAAGACACATCAGGAGTTGAATTTCACTGATATTTGATTATGGATGCTGTAAACCTATTTCAGTCTATATACTAGTTAAGTTTCCAGTGAACTATGTCCATTGCCTATTTGTAAGGATTAATCTCTTTCTTCATCCTTGGTGCTGGGTTCAAACCTAGAGCCTTGTGCATGCTAGGCAACCAGTGAGCTATACCCCTAGCACTATTAATAAGATTTTATTTATTTAAAATTAATTTGTATGCTATCTCTACTGACCATCTTTGCAGCAATCTTTCCCCCAAGTTTTTGTTTAGTTTTTCATACCTTTAATCTCTTTACTTTCATACAACTATGCTACTATTTCCCTTTTACCATTGTTCATAGAGGCATCTACAGTTGTGATGAATATATATAAATTCCCAGTTTCTATTTTGTTTTCATGATTTTACATTTTAGTTGTAACTGATCTTTTTGGTATCTAGTGGGAGGGAAAGGAACAAAACTAAATCTTAGTTGTAGTTGAACACAATACCTTTATTTATTTATTTTTATGTGATGCTGAGGATCGAACCCAGCACCTTGCACGTGCTAGGTGAGTGCTCTGCTGCTGAGCCAACCCTAGTCCCAAAATTAAAATTTTAATAGTACTTCCCAGAGTATTCCAAAGAAGCTGAATCCTGCAAGTTATTCTGATTTAGTTTCCTTCTGTTTAAAACACATATATAACTCTTGAGTCACAGCATATTTTTTTAATTTTGAAGAAATCATTTTGTAAAAAACATTATCATTAACCTAGAATTTCTCAAATTGCCTGGATTATGGGCATTTTTAACTTTGATATCCATCATCACAGAATCATGTAGGGCATATTTTGCAAAATGCTGTTTAAGAGCCTGTTGCTTCAATATTACTAGAGGTTGTCACTTTTCAAATTGTTATACCTTTATTCATAATTTTATCAAAATAAAATCATATAAAAATGCCTACTTATATGTTCCTTGTTATCACATTGTTTAGAGGTAACTGCTTTTAAAATAAGTTCCAGTATTTGATAGGGTGGGTTTTCTTTCATTATTCTTCTTTGCTAACTTTATTATGTTTTATTTATTTATTCTTCTAGATAAGCTTGAGAATTTTTTTTGCCTTATTTCTCTTGTAGTTTTCATTTTCAGTTCCCATGCACATTCTTCTGAGATTATTTCTGTTGTTATTTTATATTTCTTTATATAATTTCCAAATATTCATATCTGAATATTCTTGCTGTATATAATTTTTTTTGTGTGTGAGCATATCCTTTCTATTGTTAAAAGATAAAAATAAGAATTCAATAACATTTCTGGTGACTCCTCAGGATTTTATACTTAGGAGGTCCACTTATCAGTAAATTCTTTCTTTCCTTTTATATTTGTACATTTTATTTCTATTTAACATCAAACCGTGAGAGCTAGCATTTATTTTTCTTGATATTTTGAACTACACTCTAGAATCTGTGAGCTTCATAGTTTAATAGAAGGTATACTGTGTCATTGAAGAAGTTTATTCAGAAGAGTAAAGTAACAGTACCTTGCCCTTCAAATAACAATCACCTCATTACTCAAATGAACAAAGTATAATTTCTGACACTTGAAACCTATGATGGCACATAATCTCAAACTATGATACTCCAAAGCCTCAATTCTAAGATTAAAATAATATTTGACTGATGTTATAGAAATCCCATCTTAATTTAACTATTGGTACATAATTAAAACAGGCAATAAATTAATTAAAAATTATAGGAAAATTCAAGATATGAGCATATCTTAAATTTCTAGACATAAGTCTATCTTGGAGTAGATGGCAGTGCAAATGTAATGTATGAAAAGACTACATATTTCTTTTTTTAGATCACTAGGATATGGCATATGTCCATAATAAAAATAAGTCCTTGTAACAAAAACATGAACCCACAAGATTTCAGTTTTTTTCTTGGCATAGATGAGGAAAGAGGCTATAAAGAGCAAACTAAGGGCTGGGGATGTGGCTCAAGCGGTAGCGGCGCTCGTCTGGCATGTGTGCGGCCAGGGTTCGATCCTCGGCACCACATACAAAGATGTTGTGTCCGTCAAAAAACTAAAAATAAATATTAAAAAATTCTCTCTCTCTCTTAAAAAAAAAAAAAAGAGCAAACTAAAATGTATTCCATATCAGAGGTCAGCATTTCAAAGTGACATGTTTGATAAACAGATCATTTTATAGTAAGAATAAAAGTTTACGTTGTAAAAGACTTCATTTTTATAAACAGCGCACACAAAGCATTTTAGTACAGTTTTATTTACACGCATTATAAAATATATTTCTGAAAACGAAACATTTCTAAATAAAAAGCCTCAACTAACTTATTGAAATGGCACACTTAATTTTTGTTTTAATCTCTTCAAAAACTAACTTATTTTCTCATATTACTTCCTCCAGAAACAAGAATCAAGAATAGGAAGAGTAATTTATAAAGAAATATACAAAGAAAATCTTGTTTTCCCTTGAGGCACCGAGATAAAAAACAGGGCCTTATGTTTGCTAGGCACAGAGATGCATCACCAGCTCCAAAAAAAAAAAAAAAGAAAAAAAAGAAAAAAAAAAGGTTATAAAATATTAAGAAAGTCAACATTTAAAGTTTGAATATGCTTTTTTTTTTCTAATAATCTATTTCTGCCCTCATGTTCAAACAAAAAATAAACATTTCTTTAAAAAGTAGCAAGAAGGGCTGGGTGCAATAGCACACACCTGTGATCCCAGCAGCTCAGAAGGCTGAGACAGGAGAATTGAAAGTTCAAGGCCAGCCTTGTCAATTCAGGGAGACACCTTGTCTCAAAATAGCTGTACCTCTGGAGTATCGTTCAATGGTAAAGTTACCCTGGGTTCGAACATCCTAGCCAAAGGGTTGGGGGAAAAAGGAGTAATAAATCCTCGATACTTGTTAATATACTTTAATAGGTTTATAGTATATGACGCTTTTACATCTTTAAAATGTAAACTCGGGCCTGGCAGTGGTGGCTCATGCCTGTAATCCCAGCTACTTATGAGGGTGAGACAGGAGGACCGCAAGTTTGAGGCTGGGCTGAGCAACTTAGCAAAACCCTGACTCACTTTACAACTGTGGATGGAGCACAGTTGTAAAGTGCCTTTGGGTTCAATCCTTAGTACCAAAAGAAATGTAAACTAGGTATTAAAATTAATTTTTTTTAGCAACACTTTTTTTTCTCCAGTATTGGGGATGGAACCCAGGGCCTCACGCACGCCAGGCAAGTGCTCTACCACTGAGCTACATCCATAGTACACCACTGCGCTTGGCTACAAAAATGCATGAAAATCGATTTCAGTTCATAATTTCCCATTTTCTCTCCTGTCCTCCCTTTCCTCTCCCATTCTCCTTCATCTGCTCTACTAGATTCACTTTTGTTCTTCTATTAATTTATATTTGATTGGTTCTTTATGTTATCCTATACAGATGCCTTTTAAAAAATATTTTATTAGTTGTTGGTGGACCTTTATTTATTTTTATGTGGTGTTGAGAACTGAACCCAGTGCCTCACACATGCTAGGCAAGGGTTCTGCCACTGAGCCACAACCCCAGCCCTACAGGTGCCTTTTAATGGTACTTTCTTTTATCATTTGACTCCAAAATTTACTGCACTAAATCAGAACATGCCCCATTCAGTGCAGATTTCTAATTTTAAGTTGATGAAAAGACTAAAAACTTTTTTTCAATAGAGAATAAAAATGGGTAATTTCAAGATAGGATCATTAATTTCTTAATACAATATACATGGTAATAAAATATATTTAAATTAATCCAGAATTCTCAATATAGTATAAGTGAATGAATGTTACTTGGCATTCAAATTCAAAAGGCAAATTATATAAAAATATTTATGTTTTTCAGGGAGTGCCTTGCTTGATATTTCTATGCAAGAGAAAGAAAATGTGTAGTGAATATATATATATATATATATATGCTTTCAAACTTATCTTCATAAAGAGTTTTTGTATTAAATAGCAATGTAATAAAAACAAATTTTGAAATTTGTTCAAACTTTAAACTTCTGAAATTAAAAATTCTGAATTATGTTTAACTGTCAAGTAAAGAACTTTTTTTTTTTTTTTAATATTTATTTTTTAGTTTTCGGCGGACACAACATCTTTGTATGTGGTGCTGAGGATCGAACCCGGGCCGCACGCACGCCAGGCGAGCGCGCTACCACTTGAGCCACATCCCCAGCCCTCAAGTAAAGAACTTAAACAAAAAACTCAAAGGGTATTTTAATTCAGTTGACATACTGCCAAATTTCTTGTAAGATGCCAGTATTTCTTTATTATCAAAACCCAGAGAAAGTTTGTTAATCAAATTGCCTCAATTTCCTGGATGTACATAAAATAAATACTATTAACCCAATATGAAAACTATAAATCTTTAAAACTGGGAAGAAGAGTGTGAGAAAAGGTTAGAATGAAAGAGTAAGCACAAAAATATCAAAGATCCTTGCTCTTTCCTTGGAAAGACAGTAACACTCTCAGGGTCTTCATAAAAAACACAAGGCACAAGATTTATTTTTTTAATGACCCTTACATCTTGTGTCTTTTTCAAGAAGTTTCAAAATAGAAATAAATGCTCTTCTCTGTGTCTTCTATCTGAAACACTTAAAAAAAGAAACTATCACATTATCTTCCAAACTTTATTTATTATTATTATTTTTTTGTGTGTGTGGTGCTGGGGATTAAATCTAGGACCTTGTACCTACTACACAAGAACTCTACCACTAAGCTATACCCCAGCCCTAAACTTTGTATTTTTAATGGGAGTTTTGTTGCTATGTTCCCAGGAAGTTACTTGAGGTCATTTTGGCTCATTACCATTATCTGAACTGAGAAATATGATTACTTTGGTTGAGAAAAAAAGTTAAAAGTAATGAGATCTTTGACACTACCTTAGAGAACAATATGACATTTTTTACTCATTTTATGTCCTTAATTTAATAAAACACAAGATAGTGGATATAATATGAAAATACATATAGAGAAATTAAGATTTTACAAGACCATAAATCCAAAATTGGGTTTTCAAGAGATCTAACATTGGGAATATTGCTTCTATGAAAAAATGGACTCAGTACAATACAACCCACTACTAAACCATTAATAGGATGGAAGCTTTCTCTCTTTCATTCATACACATACACTTTCACCAAAACAGAAGCCTGCTGTCACCACTACCTACAAAATTAAGAACTCAAACTCCCCAGGTTATAAATGAAAGAAAATAATTCTACACACTACTTGATGTGGGGGGTGGGGGATGACAGAAATTTAGCAAAACTATGGTGCATACTCTTCCCTCAAACAAACTTCTTTCATTTTCTTTTTGAAAGTGAGACCATCTCTTATAAGGCAGAGTTTCACATTTATCCTCTTATTCTCTTTTCCTTTCACCCCTTTTCAAAACACCACTATCCCAAATAGTACCTTTCCCTAAAGTTACTTTAATCTCTTGTGTACTGGTTCATTTCATTTTTACTTAAAATATGGATAGCCCTTTTGTATAATACTACAAAATAGGCCAGTTTCTGAAACAGCAGACAGCATATTAAGTCTGGAAAGAGAAGGAATGGAGTATGTTAAACAGTGTAATTACTGTGCATCAGTAAGAGATCTGATTCAATTAGGTATGGGTGATTGCATCTTAAGAATATATGTATCACACGATATTTTTTGATTGGTAAAAAGGAGCTTAGATTTTGTTATTTATAAATACAACTGGTTTGAATGAGGGAAAAATGAATATAATTCAATACAACCATTTCAACAAAGGTGTTAATTTTAAGTCTTATGTTAGTCAGCCAGTAAATGTGTCACTTGGCAGCTGTGTGATAACCTTTGGAACCTGAGAAATGTGGGGAGTTTCCAAAGGTGTCTGAAGAGTAAGAACATTCATTAACTTGAATATATTCAAAGTGAATCCTTAATTGAGTCATGCAGGAATAACAAGTACCCAAGACTCAAGTGAAAATTCGTAACTGGCAAATCCTACATGCAAAGAGGATTACTGAATGCCCATAGACTCCCCACCTCCCTACACAAAAAGTCATCTGGCATTTCTTGAAGTTTCCCCATGGGAAATGGCGGTCCCTCTTCTAACCCTCTGGGAACTCTATAAAATGAAAGAATAATAGTGGAATGTTTTGTTGAATTATAAAGTCTAATAAACATTTAAACCACTAGCTTGTGTCCATTCTTGATCCTTCTTGTCATAAAAATTGAGCTCTTAGTTGAAGAAAATCCATATTTACTTTATTGGACACTTTTACCTCTCGGAAAACCCAATCAAAGGAAAACTCTCCTTACCTCAAAGTGATGCTTTATTAAAGTTCCCTCAAGCAGTTACCTTATTTTTCTTTCCTTCACTATTTATATTTACTGTAATTTTGACATATACTCAGACTTATAGCATTTCTTTATTAGTAACTCACATTTTAACCTACTTAGACACAGTGTTTAATCATTCTGTTGAAATGACACCAAAGGTCAGATGCCTACTTGCTTAATCCAACTGTTCTACTACAATAGTTTATTCACCTGATTGTTTTTGTTTTTGTATAGGCAGATGTTCACTAATAATCTTTGAGAATTTTCCATTTCCACTTTAAAGCCACAATATTTTTAGTTTTATTGTAATCCCTCTGGCCTATTTCACCTCCTCAATTGACTCTTTTTTTTTATTTTTATTTTATTTTTTTTTAAATATTTATTTTTTAGATGTAGTTGGACACAATACCTTTATTTTACTTATTTATTTTCATGTGGTGCTGAGGATCGAACCTAGGGCCTCGCACGTGCTAGGCAAGCACTTTACCGCTGAGCCACAACCCCAGCCCCCTCAATTGACTCTTGTTCCTCTTTCCAAAATGCAAAAAATTCTCTAAGATTTCATACTTAGCTTTTGATTTTTATCAGTACCAAGGATCAGTTACATTCTTACACTCGACTCATCAGTTTTTCTGATTTCTATCTCCAACCCTGATGTCTCAGCTGTACTCCCACATTTTAGATCATCTGCTGTACATTTCCATTCAACTGTCACCTCAAATACACTCTTTGAAATTAAACTTGTTATTGCTGTTCTGGAAAATCGGGTTTTTACCTGAATTCCTTATTTTTGTTAATGACATAATCTTTCTAATTCCCACACTTGGTTCCTTTAGTTTTGCTCCCCCAGTCATCCAAACACAAGTCACTAAATTTGGCTGATATTTCCCTCAAAATGTTTAACTGTTTGTCCCCCCACCCCCGGACACACACTTATACAGCTAACACTCTGATGTAAGTATTATAACTTTATATCTGAAATCCCTGCTGAAAACTATGTATCCTACCACTTCTGCATGCCTGGAAGGACAAATTCCTCACACGGTCACTCAGATTCTCCTCAATTTAGATTTATTCCCTGGGGGAAAGAGGGGCTCGTGCAAGGACCAGACTAGGGTTTTCACCCAATACCCCTTTCCTCATATGAGCCTTTTATTGAAGATTTTGAAAATGGGTTCCGAATACTTGCAGCATATTCATATACCACCTATCTTTTCAGGGGAAATTTAACTCCCAAACATAAATTATTATGCTTTCCCAGAAAATTTTAGTCCATGGTGTAAGCTCTTTCTTTTCTCTCATTTAGAACATTTGTATTGCATTTATTATACTCTTCCAAGAAAACTACTGTTTTACTATATATGTACATATATATAGTAAGCAGTAAATGAACTTATATTTAAGATCATTAACTGAAGATCTATTGCAACACCAACAGAAATTCTGTAATTTTGAAATGCATTATTTTTCATATTTTAATGAGCAAAAAGAGAGGCACCTACTATAGACAAGGTTTGTTTAAAAAAATAAACCAAGTTTAGCCTATGGAATACTATTAAGAGATTATTTTCTAGCAACCCCACAAGTACTTACTAGGAAGCCTATTCTAAATATACAGTGTTATTCTTAAGGTACAATTTGTTGTAATGGGTCTGTTAATTTTTGGTTCATATTCCATATATTCATCAATTTCTGAACACAGTAACAAAATCTAGCTCTGAATCACTGGATTGTACATAGATCATTTGGGAGAAATAGATTCGAGAAATATACTTTTTAGAACCAAGCTCACAGTTTCTTCCACATTTAAAAAAATTTTTTTTAGCTGTCAATGGACTTTATTTATTTATATGCAGTGCTGAGAATTGAACCCAGTGCCTCACACATCCTAGGCAAGCACTCTAGCACTGGCCACAATTCCAGCCCTCTTCCACATTTTTGATAATATGATTCATTAAATGGTTCTTCACTGTGGGAAGGGTCACCAACATAATATACTTTCAAAAATGAACACTTTTAATTATTTTTTTTTTTTTGGCAGAACTTGGTTAAACCCATGGCTTTGTGCATGCTAGGCAAGAACTCTAATATTAAGCTACATCCCCACCCTAGAAACATCAGTTTTTTTGGAATCTTTTACTATTATTTTTGGTGAAACAAATTTTACTTGAATGCTAATAATGGTAGCACATACGATGTTTTCACTGTATTTCTAACAATATACCAGAAATTCTGAAGTCATTCAAGAAAAAGATGAACCCAGGAGAGGATTCTATTGTCTGGCTCACTAGCTGCCATCATATCTAAACCTGAAAAGGTACCGTAGGTGATATTTCCCCAAGAAATCTGAAATACAATTCTCATAAAATAAATAAGATTTTAAAGAATCTTGTATTGTTAGATTTTTAATTAAAGGAGTTAACAGCTGATAGAAGGTTTGGGATGCCAATAAGATAGGGTAATTTTCAAAAGTTTCTTTTGAAATTTCTAAAAACTTGTCCTAGTATCCAGAGCTGTTAATCTTAAAAAAAAAAAAAAAAAAAAGTATTTCTTTTGTTTCTTGTTGTACTCAAGCTGCACACTCCCATTTCCTGGGATAGAAGAAACTAAGATCCACTTGGGGAGGAAATCCTAAGAGTAAATTAAAGAGATTTTTCTCTTTTATTTGGTCAAGAATATGGTTGCATTCACCTGAACTCAATTGAGGGTATGGTATAATTTGACTGAATGGTAGTTATATATATGTTAGTAGTAAATATATGGAAAACAGAAGAACAGGATGCAATTAAAAAAAAAAAAAAAAAGAAAAAAGGGTGTCTTCACAATCTGGTAATACAAGTTTGACAGAGTAGATTAAAAAGAAATGTTACATTGATAACAGTTTTGTATGACCTATTATCCTTACCTTTTTGGACCTCCAGCAACGGCAGAACACAGCTTTATCTCCCAGATCCTCCATGTCAAAAGCATGTACTATCTTGGGATTGTCTTTCTGGATGTGAAGGTTTACCATTGCTTTATTGCTATGATCTTTGACATAGAATCTCTTGTAAGCTAAGTAACCAATTGCAGCCGTCCCGGCAGCAATGGTAACTGCTGCAATCCATTCAACTGGGGCAGGGAAGAAAAAGAGGAATAATTACCCAAACCAAAATACACACTAAAAATCATTCACAAATGTTTAGGAAATTCAGTTTTTGAATATTAAGGAGTGCAACAATCAAAGATTTTCAATGTTACCAAAATGACCAGAACATGCTGGTGTAATAGTGAGGGCTGGGGAAAGTCCCAACAAAGGTCTAAGGCAGTTATATATTTTCTGTTGAGTGATGAAAGTGAAATTAAGATAGAAGAGGGAAACAATGGTTATTTTCCCTTCTTTAAGACAGAGAAGCAAAAACAAGGCTTAATCTTTCTCAAAGTGTTCATAAACAGATTTTTAAATAATTTGAGCCTGCAGGTATACACTGCTTAAAAGAAAACACAAAACCTGCAAAGTAAAATTTTAGATTACAAACAAACAAACAATAAAACAGGAGGAGATTACGTTAGCAAAATGACTCATTAGTGTTCATTTAAATAGCTAGTTCCTTAGTGATTTTAAAATGATTTTATTTATCAAAACTTAATTCTAATTACACATAGAATCAGTATTCAAAGAAAAAACACAAAAAGAACACAAAACAAAACCACTCCTAAAGCTAAACATTCAAAGGAATATATCTTGCAGAATTCTAAAGTTTCAAAGTGCTTTCTCATTAAAATAAAAATCAGAACATACAAATTTCACATAAAATGTGATTAATATAATTAGTCTCATTTAATAAATTCAAATTTCTATTAACCACAAGTGGATGATTATCTGAATTCCCCACAAACTCCATTTTTAATTTAATGATATTATTCTCCTTTCTAATTATAATAGTAATAAATGTGTTTGACTAACAGGCCATTTACTTATTCTCTTTGCATAGCTCTTCAAGGAATTCTTAGAAACCCAAATGCTTAATGACTACCCCAGCTCCAGGCAGTGATGGAGAGAAGAAAGTTCTGCATAATCTGGTTAGTCTCAGCCTCAGATGAGAGTTGTCTATTCTCAGCATGGAGTGGGCTGCAGGATGATGTTGAACAGGGGTCAGGAAAAACACAGTGCACTGCTTCTCAGCACTTCCTGAGTCACATCTTCACAGTGTTTGAAATAAGTTCCCAGACTATCAAATAAAGCCCTAGGGAGATTAAGTACAAAAAACACATTCCAAGGCCAAATAAAAACACATAAGGAGTTAGTAACCATGTGGCTTATTTGCATTACTGTGGTCATATTTCCTATTTCACTAATGTGATCAGTCACCATACCTAACATTGTCTTACGTGTAATTGTAGCTCAATATTAACTCTAAACTGGAAAGGAAATATATCATTCCCATACTTAATTCCTTTTATCTTGGACTTCCAGTTACTTAATAATTTTGTCTAACAAATTTTTCTAATTTTGTTTTTAACCAATGTTTCTAATTACCATGTTCTATGGATTTTATTTTCAACTTCAGTATTTTTTTGTTTTTTGTAATACTGGGGATCGAACCTTGAGCCTCTTGTATGCTAGGCAAGTGCTCTACTACTGAGCTACATCCCTAGCCCAGTATTCTTTCCAAAGTAATTTAGATTGTTTTCTTTTCCACAACACTTCCATTCTTTCATTGCTATAACCCCCTAAGATAAACATTAACAGTTTGTCCTTCCCAGGTGCTGCATGACTGAGAAAACAAGTCATTTGACAGTGTTAAACCTTTGGCCTCATCAGAAGTTGTTTTAAAGTACACTCTTCCTGTAGATTTCTCTTGAAATTTTAGTGCTATTTCATGGTATTATCCTGTGGTATTTCCAAGCAGGGCTGCAACTTTGCTGTGATTGCTACCTTTATCTGTGATCTTCCTTTTTGATGCATTATTTACTATGGAACTTTCTTGAAAAAATATTCTCTGTTAGGAGCTACAGTAATCTACTTAGCTAATGGAAAGACACTCTGAATAGCTAAAGTATCTATTTAAAAATGGACTAAAACATTGCTATGCACAGGATATGCTCAGTAATGTTTGCTGAATGTTGTCTTCAGTACAAACTTAAAAGAGGTCAATATTCCAGAAGACTAAATAACACAACTCACTAAAAGTGAATCTTATATTTTACTTTTTTACGTGAATTGGGAAGTGCTTTCTGATATACCTGTTTTAATGGTGCTTATCTATTGCAAAAAATCCTGAGTTGGCTAGTTATTAGTTTAATGATATTAAAAAAAATCCTATAGGAACTTCAACATCAAACTCACAACAGGTCAAAAGAATCTCTCCTAGCTGTTAGAACATTCTTTTCTCATATTACCAACTGAATTCATTTAGTGACTTAAAAAAAATTTTTTTTAACCTCCCCTGGATTTTGTGATGGTAAAATAAATGACAGAATAACTGGCATAGAAAAGAGGCAATACTGCAAGTATCATTTAAATAAATGAGTGCTGAGTGGCTGCCCCATGGGGAAATCAAAATATATACTCTACCCCCATCACGGGTCACTCATGCTGTAAGCAATTATCACAGTACCATGTGTGTTAGAAAAATAGCTTTGTATTTGCTCCAAATAAGTATTTTAGAATCACAGAGCTAGATAATATCTTAAGATTTTCCCTTTTTTCTCTTCCCCAATTCTATTTCCCTTTTTTCTCTTCCCAAATTCTAATTCTCTAATCTCACTGGGGACAAATGTAAGAGTTCCCAGAAGTAACAAAAGAGTTGCTATTTTATCATTTCATTACTGTGGCCTGAATCAGTCTCTTCTGGCAAAAAGCTGAATTTCACTGACTACTCTAGGGAAAAGAAGGAAAAAAAAGCTAGACAGAGATAAACAAAAATGATGGTAGATTTAAAAATCAACAATTAGGGGAGAGAAAAAACTGAAAACTTGAGTAAACAAATAACAAAACCCAAGTGACATTTAGTACTCGATATATGCCTATTAAGAATAGTCATGCTGCCTATAATACCAGCAACTCCAGAGGTGGAAGCAAGAAGATCACAAGTTCAAGGTCAGACTGAGCCATTTAGAGAAACCCTGCCTCAAAATAAAATACACAAAGGACTGGGAATGTAGCTCTGTGGTAGAATGTTCCTGGGTTCAAGTCCTAGAATAAGCAGAGGTGGGGAAAGAATAACCTCAGAGGCAAAAAGGGTCTTTACCAAGACTCAATACTTAAAAATATTTTGTCAGTTGGCATCTTTCAGACTCTGGGTTAGAACTGGGTAGCCCCAAATCTTCAGCATTTCATTTTTTCCCCCCTTTTCTGGCTTATCTTCATTTTGCTTTTTCTGTAGACATTTCTCATGGTGCAGTAATTCCTATAGTTAGGTTGAACCCACTCTACCCAATTCTTTTTAATAAATTATCTTCCATTAAAGAACATAAACATTTCTAAACTCCCTCTTTCTTCCCTTGGACTATTATATAATCTCTAGATTTCTCTCAAAATTATTCGGAGATGGAGAAAACACAGACTTGACCCCGAATCCCCCACCCTTATTTACAATCCATTCCTCAGATTTTCTTTATCATGAGGATTATTTTTTTCTTTAACTTGGAAATCTCACCCTTCTTCTTTTCCTTCAGCCCCTTTTCTGCCTCAAACTGCCTTCTCCTACCCACTGTCAACTGCCACAGAATCAGAACATTCTTGTCTATCAGGAGAGGGGGAAGGGAGCTGTGTTGAAACCCAGTCTTCCCTGAGATTTTGCACAGACTGGAGGTGGCATCTGGTAATGTTTTCTTCTCAAGGCTTGGTGTACTGGTGGAGTTCAATGTGAGTTGAGTAGAAGTAATGGACTAATTTGAATTTGCAATTTCATCTGTCCGGCCTTAACTGTCTTATCATTCCTATGCCAAATGTCTTACCCTTATACCAAATGACTTATCTTTGCCTTTCTTTTAACCTACTGTAGTAAAGTGTGGAATTTACTTCTTCAGATAAAAAACAAAAAAATAAAATAAAAAAAACCCCAACAAACAAAAAACCCTTTAGTATGGAATATTTCAGACATACATAGAGACCATGCAGGATAAAGAAAAATTCATTTACCCTCATCAAGTTCCAACAATTATCAACAGATGACCAATCCTGTTTTGCCCATAGCTCCAAATCCCACCCTCTAATTATTTATTTGTTGTTTATAACCTATCGGAGCTACAGCTTTATCCTCAGTATGATTTACATATCCTTTCTCAGAAAAAAAGAATTCCTTAAAGCATTACTTTCAAGGAATTAATGAATTTACTCAATCAATTTGGTGAAGTTAAATGAGGTGGGAAATTATGAATTAGTTTCAATAAAATATATAAGGATACAAAAGTCAGGCAAGATTTACATAAGGTTTGGGTTATATGCATTCTAATGATTAGGGTTTGGGATGGATAATGAAGGGGAAGGTGAACAGATAAATCTCTATTTTGTAACTTGGGGGTAAAGCCACTTGTGAGTATAAATGTTTTAAAGGAAAGTCTGGTTAAAGAAGCCCTTTTAAAATACTTAGTTCAATTGTTTTTTGCTTTTGTTTTTTCTTTCTAAAGATGAAGGCAAATTAGGCTGAAGAGAAGAAAACCATTATGAGGGGCTAAAGATTTAAAAGTGATAAGTATCAGTGAGGCAAGAATTAAGGTATCTGGAGGACATGGGAAGAGAATGGCCTCAAGAATTATATTTTTCTTGTCAACAGAAGCAAAGGGGTTAAGGATGAGAATGGATTCAATGTCTCCTGGAGATATTAAATAGCCCGGTCAGTTCTGGAAGGTCCATTTAGAAGGCACAGGGAAGAATCCTAAGAGATTAGGGAAGCAGGCAGGAAATGTCACTTAGTGCTAAAAACTATAATGAATTAATGGTCTCATCAACCAAATCGACAAGAAGACCCATCACATGGGCAAAGATCTTTGACAGGATTTCAATTGCAATCACTCATTCTCATTGCCTACTTCCAGTCCTGGCCTGATCCCCATTTACTCTTATTTATAACCCACTCATTACTTTTTCTTTTTCCCTGAATATAAAGAATTCAGAATGTATATACATATACTTTTACTTTTTATTCAACATATAAGTTATCATTGTCACATACTATGTTCTAAGCCTTTTATAATTATGAATTCACTTAATTGAGAACAGGTATGATCATCTTCCCCTAAATTAAAAGATCAAATTGATCTTCAAATCTATAGAAGCTAATAGGTTTGTTTTGAAAATTGAGTAGAGGGCTGGTATACTTGAGGCTCTGATTCCTAGTACCTCAAAAAAAAAAAGAAGAGAGAGGAGAGAGAGGAGAAAGAGGAGAGAGAGGGAGAGAGAGAAGAGAGAGAGAAGAAACAAACTTTAATGGGGTGTAGGGATGTTTATTCTTCCAAACCAAATTCTTTTCTGTTTCTACTTTGCCAGCCACTATATTTGAGAAGGAAGTACTGTCAGAGAGATTTACAAAGCCTCTGGGCCTCTCCCTATGGGCCCCCACAACAACCTTTATGCTTATCAGTGAAATAAAAAGTAGTTACTCCACATAATGAAGTTGTGTACTTAAAGTTTTAGTTAACAATCAGCTTCACCAAGTGATTTGTATCCTTTACTCAATGATAAACTAATGGAAAACTCATCCCTGAACTCCCTTATGTTAAGACTTAAAAAACAAAAACAAAACACTTGTCTTGCTTACAGGAAAAATTAACCTGTACATAGTGATAAGAAGTCCTAGGGATTCCACAAAATGCTACCTAAATGAAGTTCAATTGTGGTCATGGTTATTCAAGAGGCCTGGGCAGGAAGATGAAAAGTTTGACTAGCCTGGACAATTTAGAGAGACCTATCTCAAAATAAAAACAGATGAAGGGTTTGGGATGTAGATCACTTGCCTACCGTGCATGAGGCCCTGGATTCAATCCCTAATACCATAACAAACAAGCCCCTGAAATAGAGTTAAATAGATTTCAATGCCTATTTACACAAAATGGTCCCATATTTTAAACAAAAACACATTTTGGAATCTTTTGGCCCATGTGCAGTCTTTCTATAAAATTAAAAATATTGGCAGCATAAGTCACATGAGCATTTTATTTTATCCAAAGTCTTATTCTTGACAAAAGTTTTTATAAAAACCAAAACCATAGATATAACTCGATATTTTAAATGTACAAGATGCCTCCAGATGATGATCCTTTCAAATAATTTTTGCAAATAATCACCTTTTTATTATTATTAACTTAGAACTTTTCCCCCCTATCTTCCAAGTAAATGTTGTCAAAAGAAGTAGAACTCTCCAACTTATGGACTATCTCTAATACAAAATTAGAGTTCAAGTTAGTAGGGGCTTATTACAGAACCTGGTACTACAAATGCTCAGAATTTACTGAATGAATCAATTGTACCAATTTTAATTACTTCTGGACAAGCTCTTTACCTTTACTGGATACATTTACAGGTAGCCAAACTTTGCATTTTATACCAGGACAGACAGATCACATATATCATGTAGCATGAGGAGGGTGTTATATTAACAAATATAGTATCATTAATATTGTTATAAAGTGAACTCCACACTAGGCAAATTTTATAAATAATTCTCTTAACTTTAATTGGACTTTCTGCAAAGTATTGTTTCCAAACGTTAGGTACTAGTACAGAGAAGGACGACTGTGGAAGCTGAAGGAAGGATCAAGGAACTTGGTTTTTAATCCTCTCTCTTGGACTACAGCCACCGAACGCCAGATGCAAGGGGCATAATAAAAAACTGGGAAAACAGAAGACCTCGGATTGGGTTTCTTCACCTTAAAAAAATCTGCAAAATTAAGATGTGATTAGTCATGCACGGCTTCAGGATTGCAGGAAATTAACTTTCTGGCTCCATGTCGATTTCAACGTGAGAAGGAGAACATGTTTGTTTTACCGCTCACCTTTCCTTTTTCTAGGCCCAGCGATTTAAGGACACAAAAGCAATTTGGGGGAAAACAAGAAAAGCCAGCAGCGAGATCACTATGTGTTAGGGTTTGACTAGTTGAGGGAAACAAGTATCAGAGCTGCGTAGACACTGCATGGCCCCGCGCTACTTATGCCTAGTGACCATCCATCCGCACCCTGACCTCGCTCCTTTCGCTGGTCCAGTCCAGAGCCCGCAGCCGGGCGGAGCGCATGTCCTTCTGCATCTCAAGGTTAAAGGACCTGCAGGCGTGTAGGACAGCGATAACAAACCACAAGAGCTGCGGGCGCTGCAACCGGTGCGCAGGCCGCCAGCCTCACCCGCTCCCAGGCCCCACTTCACCTCGTATGCTGGAATGGGAGGTCAGACCCATGGCTCTGTCACTCGCAAGGTGTATGCGCAGGACGCGGATCACAAATGGGCTCACACAGACCGCTGGAGTCAGAGCACACGAAGCGTCCTAAGGGCACCAACTGGGGTTGCTACGGCGCAGGCGCCGATAGGCTGGAAGCACGTGTTTGTGTTCGACCGGGGTTGATGCTGAGCATGCGTAGACCTGTGTCCCGGGCCCTAAGGAAGTCTGGAATCCGGATTTTGACAGCTGCAGGAGGCGGGAGTAGGAAGACTTAGAGAGGCAGCCACTGAGTCTGCGCAATTCTGAAGGGCGGGGCCCTGGGAATAGGAAATCCAGGTCAGATTTTACATTTCTTCCAGGTGTGTGGGTTTCTGGTGGCCGGTACAGGTTCTTGCAAGACACTTCCCTTAACCAGATAACTAAGATATTACCTAAAATTTTCTTGCTTAATTTTTACATGTAAGGTCGGGTCCAGTTTTCGTATAAGATGCCAGCGGCAAACACAGGCATCGATGATACAATCCCTTTACAGAAACTCCCTTAGGTCCCAGTATGCATCCACCTCTTCCTTCTGCCTTTGACCTAGTTAATTATCCACTCAGGACTTGGGGCGGGCGCTACCTAGAGCTCAAGTATGAAGGAAGGAGGGAAAGGGGAAAGAGATACTTGCTTATTTCTAAAAAAAAAAAAAAAAAACAACAAAAACCGTGTTCACTTAAAAAAAATTATTATTCTTTCCCAACAGCCTGAAATTTGTTCCAAAATTCTTTTGAAAGAGCAGTTTTAGAGGCAGCAACTGGGGATTGGGGCTAAACTTGAAAGACTACTTTGAAGATGGCGTCTTCTATCGAGCTACCTGCTTTTACTTGTTCTTACGTAGGGTAGGGGTTGCAGGGAGTTGATTTGCACAGAATGGGTGGCCTCCCATTTCTGCCTCCGAACTCTCCCAGCACCTGACAGCTCCTCTCACCTGGAAGCCCCAGGGGTCTATAAGCCCGCCCCCGGGAAGCTCTGGGGCGCGCGTTAAATGAACAAAGGCAAAACTCCTTCTGTGGTGTCGTAACGCCAATTCTGGGGTAGAGACGAGAAGGACTCCTAAAATCCTCCAGATCGCGGTTCTGCCCACCCGCGCCGAGCGTCAATCCCGCTGCTGGGGTCTGGTCCGGCAGCCTCTGGGCATGCTCAGTGAGGCGCCTGCCGCGGGTCGAGCAGTCGGAAGCTCGCAGCGGCCGCAGCAGTGCAGGCGGCGCTGACGCGCGCGCGGCTGCGGAGGGGACTGGAGGACGGCGGGAGGGGGCGGGGCGCGGGAGGTGGGGCCGCCGTCGCCGTCAGGGCCCCAGGGAGCGCGGGGCGCCGCTGCCGCTGCTGCTCCGCTCGGTTCCGTCTCCTGGGCAGCGGCGGGACCGGCGGCCGCGGCGGCGGAGGGACGGGAGCTGGGAGCCGCGGTCCGCAGAGTTGGGCAGGGGAGCACCCGCGCCTCCGCGGCGTCATGGGCCCCCTTCCCGGGCCTCAGCGGGCACCAGCCGCGGGAACCCCCAGGCCTCCTCGCGGCCGAGCCTGAGCGACCCCCGGGTTCTCAGGCACTCGCTCCCTACTCCCTATTTTTTCTTCCTTTCGCCACCGTTACCGCTTGTGCACACGGTTATGGCAACAGAGCCGCCATCCCCCCTCCGGCTCGAGGCGCCCGGCGCCCCAGAGATGCGGACCCCACCGGTGAGCGATGCCGCCCCCGAAGGCGCCCCGCAACCAGCGGGCGGCAGGCTGCGTTTCCTCAACGGCTGCGTGCCCCTGTCGCATCAGGTGGCCGGTCACATGTACGGAAAGGACAAAGTGGGTAAGTGAGGGTGGCGCGGGGCTCCCAGCTACCCTTCTGTCTCCACGAGCTCCCTGGCCAACCGAGGCAGCCTGGCGCTCACAACGGTGCTGGGACAACCCCCCACTCCGCACCCAGGGCTGCACGCCGCACCCCTGGCCTCTTCCGCCCTCCCTGGGAGCCTCGCTACCGGTGCAGAAAGGGGCTCGGAAAGTGGGGCTATTTCTAGGGTGTGAGGCTCAAGCTTACTGTAGGGGCGACGGAGAAAGGCGTGTCCGGTCTCCCCAGGGAGGGTGGGTGTTCGTTGGAGATGGTGTTGTTAGTAAAAATAAGGAACTTCAATTTTACTGGACGGGGAAGTGAATTCTCCCTCGAGCGCAAGATCTGTTTATTATAGGCGAGTAGCTATTGCAAAAGAAAAGGAATGAAATGCAGATGATGCTAATCTAGTGCTTCTCAGTTGGGTGCAGCTGCATAGCTGGAGGGGGAAAAAAACAAAAAACAAGGCCTTCCCTCGAACCCCTGGGAAGCTTGCTTGGCTTAATCAGGATCTCTGCCTCCTTGTCCCTTGACGGGGTGCGTGTGTGTGTGTGTGTGTGTGTGTGTGTGTGTGTGTGTAGGTGTTTGTCTGTCTGTCTCCTGGATTTCTCTGGGAGGCGTGGTTCCAGTAGTGCAGAAACTCGGATTCATTCAGGGTAGGAAATACACCCTGCTAGAATGATGCACAGATAAAACATTCATAAAACTAGCATGGCCTCTGTAATACATTTTGTAAGTTCACAACTTTTAAAGGATAATATGAAGCTTATCTCAATTTAGGAACTGTAATTCACCTAGTTTACTCACAGTGGTTCCTAGAGCCATGATTACCTGAAGAATCTGATAGATGAGTACGTGAGTATTGCAGATCTTTGACCCAGAACAACCACTAGAGACTGTTTGTTTTTTGCTGGTATAATGATTCAGGTTTAGGTTGGTAAGTAAGGACATTTTTAGACCACATGACTAAGGTTAAGCCTGGTTAAGTGATACACCTAAAGTCATACAGCTACTATGTGTTACCATGTGATACCCAGGGATTTTCCTTGGACTATTGTTTTTTTAATTGTTCTGTACTTGCAGAAAGTACACAGACTGGGACTCAATTACACTCATGAAATGTTGAAAGAATGACAATTGACTGCTCTGTTAGTACATCAAGTTAGGAAACAGTACTTAAGGTGCTTAGCGTAGACATTTCCTCCTATGGGTCATATCTGTGTATGAGAGTTTGAGTGTACCCATGGAGTCTCTGTTAATAGAGACTTACTTACTCATTTATATTAATAAATTGTGATGATACTATTCCTAATAATATTTTAGATAGAGGGCTAAAAGATTGTTTACCTAAGGGTCCTAGAGCCCAACTTACATGCAAAGGGGGAAAAAGTCAAAATCCCAACATAAATAAAAACGATCTCTATGAAGATTGTTACTTAAGAACATAATCATTGCTTATCAAAGTATGTAATAGTGTTCTTATTAGAGTTACGTGAGATTAGTAAAAAATTAATTATGGTGACTTGAAATTACATTATAAACAGTGACTGAAAGAGTTGATTTGTCACTCAAATTTCCTAATTAAAGTAGCAGTTTACATTTTGGAGGATGTTTTTCCTCAATATTGTTTATTATTGTATTCAATTTAAAATAAACCTTTTTTCTATTAAGGTTTTTTTGACAAGGAACTGTCTTTGTATCACCATAATACAGTTCTTCAAAGATAAGGGTGCTGGCAACCTAATAAATATTGTGGAATTTAATTCTCTGGTACTTACAGAGTCATGCATCTATTAGTATTTTGAAAGGACACCTATATGATGATAGTCTTCCCTGTTCATAAAATGAATAACAAGATGGTTAGTAATTCAAAGTTCATTATGTCTCTGCACTATCATGAATCACTTACAGTTTAAAGTACATTGTTAATCGGACTTTGGTCTGTCAACTGAAGTAATTCTCTGTAAACTTTGTTAAGGATATTGTGTGAATATTTGTTTCTGTATTGTTTTTTAATTTTTGTTCCTATCATTACATGGCCAGATTTTTCCATTTTAGGTTTGATATCTTAACTATCTCCAAAAAGGAGTTGTTATTTTTGGTAGTTTAAAAATGAAAAATGTGGAACTTGATAGAACAAATGTGCTTAAACAGAAAATTATATGTTGTTGTAGCTAAGTATCAAGACTATATTCATATTTCTGATTATCAGAGTTTATATTCTCCACTCAAATCTGTTTCATCAAATACATTTTAATTTTGAATTCCAGGAGTAAAACTTTTTTTTTTTTTTAATTGTAAAAATGGTTCATAATCTTTTAGGGAAAAAAAATTCTTTAAGTAATGCCCTTTCCCACATTCTTTTTCTCCCAGGGACAATCACTGGTAACAATTTTCCATGCATCCTTAAGCCTTTGTTTCTGTGTACATACATAAACACATTAACACAATTCTAATTTTTCATACAGATAGATATATCAGCATTTTTTTTTCTTTTGTAGTGCTGGGGTTGAACCCAGGCAACCTAATAAATATTGTGGAATATAGCAAGGGCTTTACCACTGGGCCACACCCCCAGTCCCAGCTTTTTTTTTAATCCTAATTATATCGTATAGTATAAACATATTTTTGTACTCCTTGATTTACAATGGGGTTACATCTTGATACACCTATTATAAATTGAAGAAAATTGAAAATGTATTTAATACTACTACCTGCCAAATGTCATAGCTTGGCATCATAATATACTTTTACCCTTGTGATTGTGTACCTGTAGCTTTGGAAGCTGTAGCTTTATGCCACTGTCTAACAGCGTAAAACAATATGCAACATAATCTTAGACCTGGAAAAGATTAAAATCTGAAGTATGATTTCTCCTGAAGACCTATTTTTATGGCACCAAAGTTGAATGATTGTTAAATTGAACATTGTAGGTTGGGGACTGTCTGTGCTTTGTTCTTCCTGTGTTATATTCTGCAGAGTAGATATATCAAAATTTGCTTAACAATATATTCTTATAAAAATATATTTTAGAGGGGCTGGGGATGTGGCTCAAGCGGTAGCGTGCTCGCCTGGTGTGCCTGCGGCCCGGGTTCGATCCTCAGCGCCACATACAAACAAAGATGTTGTGTCCGCCAAAAACTAAAATAAATAAATAAATATTTAAAAAAAAAAAATATATTTTAGAGTTTGGCTATTATTTGTTATAAATAATGTACTAAACATTCTTTTACATTGTAGCATACCTTGTATAACTTTCCTATTTCTATAAGTTTCACAAAAGTGTAAAATTACATTAAAAACAGTGACCCAGAGAGAGTTAATTTGTCATCCAAGCCTAATTAAAGTAATAGTTTGGATTTTGGAGGATGTTTTTCCTTAATATTGTATATTATTGCATTCCATTTGAAATGAATTTTTTTCTACTAAGGTTCTGTCAATTTAATTTCCCAAAGCTCTCTAGAGTTAGCATAAAATCCTTTTCTGTTTTAAGAACAAAGATATTCTCTTCTGTAGCCACAGTATATTTATTAAATGTGGGAAATTTAATAGTGATTATATTTTATAGCCCTTTTTCTTATTTTGTCAACTGTTCCAGTAACACTGATGTCTTTTATCCCATTTGTTTTTCTCAGAGGTAGAGCTGCTTAAGGATATCAAGTTGCATTTAGTTATGTCTCTTAGTCTCCTTTAATTTGTAACATAACCTCAGCTTTTCTCTTTCATAATATTGTCATTTTGAAAAATAGGTTAGTTGTTTATGAAATGTTCTTCAATTTGAGTTTCTGATTCAAGTGATGCATTTCTGGCTAGAATATTATTTATGTGTACCCTTTATAAGATAGCATGTCTAGAGACCTGTATCTGTCTGACCTTTATTAGTGGTTAATTTTGGTCAACTGGTCCAAGTGTCATCTGGCTTCTTCAGTATATAGTTGTTATTTTTCCTCTTGCAATTAACAAGCTATCTATGGGGAGACACTAGAAGGTCATGCAGATATCTGGAAGCCTCATTAAATTGCGCCCCTAGATTTGGCATCTATTGATTATTCTTGCATAAGTCTTTGACGGTTACAAAATCATAAAAGTTTTCCAATTCTAATATTCCCTGTAAAAATTTTCATTATGAGAGAGAGCCCTCCTTTTACTTCTGTCCATGCATGTCTACATTTATGATTGGGTTGGAGTCATGAATTTCTGTTTTATGTTTAAGAACTTTTCTTGCCTCTCAAATTGTACTGAATCTCGCCATTTAGATTGGCTTTCTGTCACCAAATTACTTTAGAGATTTACCTTCCTTCCTTACCCTAGAATCAGCCATTTGTCCAAGGAGCCCTGGTTAATTGGAATAATATTTAGAAACTCTGATTTGGGTGCTATATGTGGTGTAACTACTGAGTACCTTTGCTTCCAGATCTTTTCAGTGGATGAAATTTAAATAAATGTATAAATATTCCAGGAATCATAATTTTGTACTTCTAATTTCATTCCAATCTGAGTGCTTTCTTTTCTTTTTTGTTTCTGAATTTATATTTCTCTTCTTCCACATTGAGAACCCTGACTCCTGGTGTTATCATAGGTTTATGATTTTTGCTCAGTCCTATAATTTTCAGAATTTCTACTCCCATACTTCTGTAGAAAACAATCATAAAATGAAGAATTCAGCATGAGATTTTCTTATTCTAAGGGTATGTGGTTGGCAACTGTTGAAAAATTTTTTAGGTTAGATTTTTGTTGTTGTTATTTCTCCCCTCTTTACAGTAATAGCATTTATTTGAAATATTTGGTTTCATGTGTTTCTGTTTAAATTCATTTCCATTCCATTATATACAGGAATGCTTATAAACTAACATGCTTTTGAAAGTTGAAACTCCTCCCCTTTGTTCAGAATGCTTTGTAGATAGCCAGTTTTATTGTTTTTTGATTCGCTTTTACTGAATTTCTTGTATAAATAAGCCCATTTATGAGAACTTTATTTCCCC